CGTCAACTATAAAACTCTTTCGTGTCCCTTTGAAATGTCATACGGATAATTAACTGTGTTGTCTTCCCACTTCCGCCAGCGTGCCGCCTGTCCGCTCTTCACGAAGAACCGGAAAACCAGCGCGGGTTTTCAGTCCGCACTAGAAACTGCACGAGATTTTTCTCTCGATTCTCGCGTACCTTATTACCGATTTTTCGATCTTTTCAGACTTAACAATGACTTAATACTATAGTTGTGTGTAGAGTGATCCCAACACATACTAGGCTCGAAATTAGAGGTCGCAGTTTTCTTTAGCTTTAGCTTTTTATAAATTACCTATTGAACTAAGAGCTAATTTGTTTCAAGCGCTGCATCGCTGATATTGACGGTTTGTTTTTACACATATTTTAAATAAATAGCGTCACGTCATGATTATCGTCCATTTCTATTGGCTTTAATTTAGCGATGAAAATATTTATTACAGAGCAGGTTCTCGATATAGACTAGTCAATATTAGGCCACTTTTTGATATTTATATTTCAAAATGCATAAGAAATTGTTTGGAATGTTACCTAAATGAGGATACAGAATAGGTACTTCAGTAGGTATTGAAAAAGGAATATATATTTGTTACTACGGCAAATAAACCACTAGAATTTAAGTTTCATTAGTACTTTAGACACTTTATAAAAATATTTCAATGTAAAATTGTACAGTTTTTACTGTTATCGTAACAAATTGTAAGGTAGTCCATATTTGAACCACACTTTATAAGAGAACGTTACAATTTTAAATTTTAATTACAATTCTGATATAAATATTATTTTTATTTAGTATTCTGGCAACTCTATACCACAGAATAATTTACGTTAATTTTTCTCAAATCAATAGTAATAGAATAAAATAAAATGGAATAGAATAAAATAAAATAAAATACAGTAAAATACAATAAAATACAACAAAATACAATAAAATAGAAGAAAATAAAATAAACTAAAATTGAAGTGTTAAATACTTCTGCAAGTTGTTATCAGGTAAAAAACCGTGACAAGTTTCTTGCTAGTATCACCGGCGAGCTGTCGTTGGTACTAGATACATCTGCACGTCAATATATTGAGATCCCATTTACCGTTACTTCAATTAACGGTTATTCTATATAACCCAGTTCTTGATATAGAAAACTGGCTACTAAGTTAATATAGAAATAAATTAAAATTAAAATAAAACTTATTCTTAGCTGCGTATTTCTCGAATTGCGCATTTTTATTTTATTTTTATGGCACTTCTTCTCAATTATCCTTTGCCTAAAGGTTTACCAATACATCATTTTTTTACAAATTATATTTTTTATTTCTTTTGAACTTTACTGTACACAATACACCCACTAATGTACTTACAAAGCTCTATGTTATTTAAAAGAACGGAATAATTTTAATTTTTCGCGTAATTAAAGCCATCATTTCTCAAGCATCAAATTATGATTTGATTTCCGCAATTCCATAATCTAGAAATGAAATTTTAACATTCAAAGTCACGGAATTCATTAGTAACGCTTATACATATTAAATCTAATTGGCACACATTCACCAGTCACGCTGAAATCAAATGTATTTACTTATTACGAGATCATATATATATATGTATATATATATGTAGGAAGAAATATAATTTCTGTTAAACATGGTATCGTTAGTATCGATTATTTCGGATACTCAACCTCTATTCGTTTAAAATAGTTTCGTTCGAATACTATAAGTGAGCAATACCAGGAACGTTGTGTTATATGAAAAGTTATCGGGACATTTCGTTCGTTCCGTCATTTTGCTCCCATCAGAAATGTATTTATTCGCTTATGCAAACAGTGCTGTTCACCAGAAGCTTTTTCCCATTTCCAATAATCGATCGCTGTAGAACGATTTTGTTAGTATTACATTGTTTGTTCGACAGTAATTGCTGAATGAGCGATATTAGCGTTGTTCTAGCATTCACTCTTAGTGAAGATCAAAAGAACAGAAAATTCGATGTTATTGGAATATGAGAAATATATAAACGTTTTCTATACTGTGTGTCGCGCAATTTATTGTGAGAGTGAAGTAGTACAAGAAATAGCACGAGATAGCAGAAATTCATGTAGGATACTATTATCCCGAACGAGTTCCCAAATTTGTAGGGGTGAGTCTTTGGGTAATGGGGAGATTGATTCTCTATTAACACTTTCGCTGGCTATAATATTAAATACATTATGACTGATATCTACACGTTTGCTGTTGATTCTCTCCTCAAACACGCACCCAACTGCTCGCTTGCTAATCGCACACCAGAAGTTTCTCGCCCACGCATTCCCACTTGCTTTTAAAGCACACCCCATTCGTTCTTTCTTTCTTCCACTTGCACCCTTCTCACTCGTACCTTTCGTCCATAGCCAAAATTCACGCGGTCACGTATACGCTTTTCTCACGAAACACCCTTCCTCGCATTCTTTCAGCCACTCAAGATTTTCTAAACTCAGTCACTCTATTTCTCAAACATCCCAGTGCTGTCCAAATGCAAAACGGATGCAATTCTTCAGGCACTTAAGTTTTCCGAAACATACCGGCGCCGGTTCGTCGCAACATGGCCCATGTTATACACTCATACACGCATAACGAACCACTCATCTCTGATTCATCAGCAAAATTAAATAGTTTCCACTGATCTATATACCTGTTCATAGATTTAATAATCAAGCGCAATTTGATAACTTAAAATTAATTGATACAAATCAATTTATACGCTAGTGAAAGAAAGTAATTCATAAATAATTTTATGAAAAAAAGATATACAGTAGTCAATCTAGATTCATTTTAAAACGCCAAGCTTCTACTTTGGGAACCCATACCCATCAATTTCCTTAACGCTTTCTTCGTTATCAAAAAATGGTACCTTTATTTCTAAAAATTTTTCGTAAAAAAAGTTAAAAATCTCAGCAATGGTAAGTTTTAGGAGAAATGCACCTTAGAACTTTTATACTCAGAATACGTCAATCTATCGAAATCGAGCACAAAAAATTGGACATTCTATTTAAGAAACAAAGGTACCGCTATATGTTCTCTACGCCTCCACTTGGAAGAATAACATTTATACCACATTCTGTAGTTCCTTCAACCCTATAACTTCTGTAAGTAACATTTTCTTGTATTGGTTGAAATAACCAAGATATGTAAATGGACAGAGTTCATGAGACACACTGTATATACATCCTATTACTATGGAAATCATTAAGTCTGTGACTCGGTACAGTTGCAAGAGGAACATTTTAGAACTCGAGGTTAAGGTTAGTTTCAACATTTTCGAGTGGAAATTTACAAGCGCGCGTAGTACTTGAACTTTGGAATATTACTGCGGTAAGTCTACAGTGTTCGCTTCGCAAGCAATGACTGAATTTGCGAAAAACAATTCATTTAGATTCAGAAATTTCCTCTAAACTTTTTCAGGTTCTCTCCGTGTGGTTGTAAGTGCAATACTTTTTCTGAATAAATAGTAATCTTAATTACACCCGTTGAATTATGCGTTCTTCTAGCGAACAGTTCCATTATCCTGCGAGATATGCGCGTTTCTATGAGCTGCCGGGCTAAAAAACACAGGCGACTTCGCGATAATGCGCTGAAATTCCGTGAAAGATCTTACTGAAGTAAATAAATATAAGAGCTTGGTTGGTTTACATTATTACGTCACGTGACACTTATGCGTTGCCATTACGCGACAATTTCTAGCGTAATGCGAAACTTTAATGCTTCATAACTTTTGAACCAATACTCACTGTCAAAAGGTTTAAAATCCTGGGTGTACAGAACAATGAATTTAACAATATACATATAATTCATTGAGCAACAGAAATGTAATATAAACAATTTTTGGAGTAAGTCTGCCTTGGCTTTCTTCGAGATATTGAAGCTGCGACACCTTCTACTCGCACCTTAAAGTGGCCAACGAATAAATGAACTAATCTGCATGTTGAGTACGTTAATAAATTAAATATTAAACTTAACACTAAAACTACCCAGTAAACTGACTTATTTATAATTTTTTATTCAAATTAGGACAATACGTTTGTTGAGGTTCGAAGGGTCTCCTAGTCTTGTATCTGTATAAATACACGAATTGAATTGAAAATCTTTTGCGATAACGCCTTCATAATTGAAATACTTACAAAATAAAAATGCTGAAGTGGGTCTATTTGACCCGTCCGGTAGTTTTAATGTCACATCAAGTAACGCATAAACACAATGGACTCTTATCGGAGATTCTCAAGAAATACTAGCGCCATAATGAATTCTCTATAGCTAAACGAAATCTAAATGCAGTTCCGTTTGAGAGTCACCGAATACAGATCAAAGCCTACGGGAAATCAAATACGACAAGGAATGAAACAATCTCATAGTATTCAGTACGTTGGTTTTGTATTTTACTTTAGCCGTGAATATACCCGCGCAATCAGTGAGAAAGTTCTTGCAAAGCATTCAGAATATAAGTGAAGAAAGGTTAAAAGATATTGCAAGAGTAACAAAACGACTCAATCTTGTATAGCTTGCAAACAATTTGTTTGCGGAAAATGTATAAAGGAGAAACCTGCGATTTGAAAAAAGTATAATTAATTGTCTTTGCTATTTATAAAAATGAAAATATATGTTTGATTATTTTATTAGCATCTAAAAGTTATGCTGCGCATTATTTTCTTCAGTAAATTAACAATTTCTTTCTAAAAAGCAAGGTCTCATTTGTAATCGGTCAAATGTGAAGTGTCTGTAGGTTTAACGTTAATCAGTAGTGTCCATCGAATCATTGTGCGCAAAATATATTTGCATGTCTTGCTTTCGCAGTAAATCTAAAAGTAATTTTTGAAACTAAAGAGTTTGTTTTTCTTTTCTTCTGTTCAACATGACAAGCTCTGTAATACTATTCCAATATATATCGCAGGCCATAATTCATGTTAGACAGCTTTATGAAGTCAGCGTAATAATAAATATTCGAAGTTCGCTCACCTGAATGAAAAACAACTTCGGCTTCCCGACCAGGGTGGAGCATCGGTCACCGGTGAAATGGGCCCACAGCATATCGACGGGGTACACGTTGTCTGCCGAGTACAGTAAACCCGATTCCCCATGCGACATAGTCACCACGACCAGACAGTCAGCATCCGTGTGGTCTTCCGCGGCGGCTTTAATGAAAGGATTAATTAATTCGGAGCGGCCTGTGATAACGGCCACAGACTGTTTGCCTTAGCAGATAATACTAGGAACAGTACAGAGTATTATTCGAATAAAATCTTATTTGGATAATGATAACGAACGAATAATTAATCGTTATTCGATTACTTGTAGAGGTGTGCGAGAACACGAAAATATTAGATCGGGTATCTTCTCTTCGTTCCCTACAATTACAATAGGAACGTTTTGTTTAAACTAAATTAAAATAGAAATTATATATATTCTGAAACTATAAGCTTTAGAATATGGAGTAAAAATAATAAACAAATAATAGTTTATTATGTTGTTTCATTTATCATTCTTTATCCACATTTGCGAACTTAATAAATAATATAAATAGTTATGTTATCATATAGCTGCGTTTCACATTGAGTGAGGCGTTGGAAAAGAAAAAATGAATCTCTGACGTATCATGTAAATCCATTATATTTAATCAAGTATTATATCGCAGTAATGTATGTGTAAAGACATTTTAGAAAGGAACTGCTAGAAACCGATTGAGAATATACCAGTGCCGGAATATATCATGGTATAATGCTCCAACATGTCGATGATCCAGAAGGTACTGCAGAAATTATGATATATTGGTTGCAGGCTCGATTATTCGAAGTTCAAATGGCCTACTTAAAATTTCGATTTAGCACTAGGTTCACGGAACGCGTCACTCCGACGCATATTGAATTTTATTAATATTACTTTGTAAATGTTTACAGGAATTTCGATTGATGCAATTATATGGATATGTATCTCAATTGTCTATTATCAAACTTATAATATTCAAAATCTAACAGAAGATGTCTAGACGTATTTAAAAATGAAATTAGTAAATGAGTGCCTGTGGCGTTTCTCTATTGTCATTAATTGACTTGTGGCAAGGGGTTTAAGAATAGCGTTGCAGTATTATGCTGGAATATTTGAAATATCTGGTATCAAGTATGCCAAAGCGTGTTCCGGCCATTATTAAAGCCAAAAGCTTGTGGGTTAAATATTAAACCTACAAGAAGCTCATCGTTTATTGGATATTGGTTCCGGTGTAAAACCAATTCCACGAAGGAAGTTTGTATTAAGTAAAGTTCTGGCGACTAAACAGATTCAATATTTTGTATGAACAACCAAAACATCGTAAATACTATTATTTCGTGACTTTATAGTTTGATGCACCTAAACGTTAAAACAAATATTGCATTGTTTAAATTCAAATTTCGTATGTGTATTTACTTTCATTTCTCACTAACTATTTGATTTAAATTCATCTATGTATATATACTACTTTTTTAATTGATTAATCAAGTCGAAGGTCAAGTTACAAAGCCATATTATTTTATTTTATCAGTGTCGCGTTATGAACACCATGCTACTACATAAGTTTAAGAATAGGTACAAGAATCATGTGTGCCATTGTACTGAAAATGTAACTTATCGTGAGAGGTTTCAATGCAAAAGCACTTTCAAAAATTCCTGCTATTGATAAGTATAACATCTCTACTAAACACGACGATAAGATGATATTTGCATCGTATTTATATATAAATATAAAATATATAAATATAATATTACATGTAATAATATATATATATATATAAAAATAATATTATATATAGCGTATAAAAGTTTATATAGAAATATAAATAGTTCACCTTTCTATTAATGTTTCAAAACAACTGCTGAGGGAAGTAAAATCTCATGCATAAATTTCTTTGGAAATTTTCGATCTCCAAATTCTATGAGAAACATGTGCCACGTTCCGCATTAATAGAATTCGTAAGGTGAATTTTATGATCCGACAGAAGAGAAGGATTATATTTGACAATTGTGTCCTCGAGTTATAGATTTGAGAGGTGCGCGCCGGCGTTAGCATTAAATTTAATGAAAGGTTTAATTAATTCTGTGCCGTCCGCAATAACGATGACCGAGCTGTTTACCGTGATGGGTCATACGCAAGCAAATCAAGAGGTTAACTACGGCACGTATTGTTCGTTTAACCGCGCTTACCCTTTCCGATTTCGCTGTTGTGTTTCCATGGCAAACATGGAGGGACACGAAAATCACTTTTGTAAACGATCTAAACGGTTTTAACGAATTACCAGTAAAAAGAATTCCCGTGACCACTTAATTTACTTTTTCTCGTTTACTCACCTACCTTTATGTATAAAGGGAGCCATGGAGACATTTTTGTGCTGCTACCTTTAATAACAGAAAACTTTTCGAAACAGAAATTTTCAATTTCACATATGACTATTTCTTTTTCTTCACGCATATATTTTAATCGCCTTAACTGCAAAGAATAAAACTATTCAATACTATAATATTGCAACATATATTTTTTTATATTTTCCACGCTATTTAACGCGTATTATGCACAGGTATACTTTCTTATATACAATGGGATTTATATAAATAAATTTAGAAACAATTTTTGTGTTCATTCTAATTATTTTAGTGAATAAATTTACTGAATAAATTTCTGAAGATCTCAAATAAGAACATTTATGTTACGTTTAAAACTTAATTCTTGTATTTCTTATAGACAAGTATTGTATGAATGTAGTAAATATGTTTTAAATAGCAATATAAACGAAGCATTAATAGAGTGACAGTTTTATCGAATAAGAACATCATTGAATAATTCCTGCTGCAAGACAGCTTTAATTTTGTATGCCATTTGCTGTAAGCTAACCTGCAAAACTGAATTCGATTAAAGCCTAGTACACATTTGGTAAAATCGTCCCAGAATATTAAATTGTAACGATTTAGATAACGAAATAGAGAGTTATGAAATGATTGATGTTTCGATTTTTTTTAATGGAAACTATATCATGTAAGTGAGTCCTCGTATAGCATAATAATTACATGGATAGAACGAAGAAAAATTAAAAGGGATAAAGAAAAAGATAATAACGTTAAATATTTTGAAATATTATATAATCTTATTCGAGGATATTACTGTCCAGTATGCATGAAGCTGAAAATCATGCGTTCGCAAAACATCGTAACAAATCAATACTATATACGCCCACTCACACAGTAACGAAAATTTATTTGCCAGTTGCTACGGTCGGGTAGAATGTTTCGATTCACTGTAGAAAGGCTAAACTTCGAACTGCCACGCGAGAGACTAATGGAAAAGTGGAGGAGGATGGGAAACTCGAAAACGTTCTTTAATCCTTTAAGACCATCGCGAATGAAACTGTTCGCTATCGGAACTTTATTTAAAAATTTGTATATTTGTTAAATTTGTGGTGCTATTCAGTTTTTGGATATCTGTATTTCGCAGTAGTCATAATGAAACGAATCAGTTATCTCAAATGCTCAAGCACTAGCATTTTTTTTTGTTTGCTGACAGTTCTTAAGAAATAAAATAAAATACTTTGACTTTGATATTAATATAAGTTTGATCTTGATATAATAGAATTTTTGGAATACAAATTCCCACATATCTGCGTACACTGTGCAACAAACTTATAATCTTATAATCGAATAGTTTACAATTTCCATCGCTAGAATTTCTGAACATTAATCTATCGAAGTAACGAAGTATTTCTTTTTGAAATACATATTTTAAATAAATTCAATATTTTAAACGACTTTTTATAGAGATTCATTTCCAAAGGATGTTCCTCTCACTTTTCAGTGTGTACATTTTAGTATCACAAACACACTTGCAATTTCAAGCGTGTAACACAATATCTAATCTTTCTTCCCAGGACTGTGAACGATTCGAAAGACAGCGAAAGCAATCGCGAGCTTGGTTCCCTGTCTTATAACTAGATTTTGAGCTCTCTCACTAACAATATCCGGTAGGAATGTCTCTCAACCACTCGGGAAAGGATGAAATATGCCTTGTGCTGATCGATACATGCTGACTGCACTACAAATTCAGAAGTTTATTATCGCCGTCGGTTGATGGTTTCCCGGCACATGTAAATCTTGTATGCCACTAAAGCTATCAACTACTACACGTACATGTGCCTGTAAACACACCGCTGCGCGGACGGAAATACAGATACAGGTACTTTGCACACTCGTTCCGTAGGCTTGACGTTAAAAGCAGCCGCTGAAACGCACCCCTTGGCATGAGCAAACGAGACTCTCCTATCTACTCAGTGACCCGAGTTGTGCCGAGAATTGCAGACCAGAGATTGAGCAAACGGTACAACGTTCGGTGTACAGGGTGTCCAACTTAACCTTCTCGTTGTCCACCAAAAAGAGAGAATAGTGTTCACAGAATACCCGAAACAAACGTACATATGTATGCAGTATTTTCGCGATTAATATCCGAAAATCGGGACTGCAACTAATTGTGCAGTGATGTTGATGCCAAGTCAAGATAAGATCCTAATTGAGCTCGTGTGTTTATCCTTTATAGAAAAGGACGACGCGAATGAAAGAGCAAGATATCCGAACTTCGGAATAATCAAAACAAACAGATGAATTAGGGGACATAAATGCAATGTTAAACTTTTTTTATTTTTCATTTTTATTCACTCAAACTTTTATCAATTGAATTGCGATGTTTTCCTTATTAAAACGAGGCCAAATACGATATATCTTGAAACATATTTACTTATTTCATGAATTACAAAAATTTATTTCCTTCTAAATTGTGATTTAATGTTTGGTCTTGTTTTAATTAGAAGAATCTCGTTTTAATCAGAAGGAATTAAGAAGAGAACAAGATATTTTATTATTATAAGTATTCAAGCTTTAAAAGAAATACATCCGCCTAAGTCTAAAAGAAAATCGATACGCAGTATAGAGACAATGTAACTAAATTCCATCCATATGAGAGAACGCTGACCTCCTCTTTACAAAAATTGATCTCTCAGTTAGGAAATCTTTTATTCTATTTTTACGAATATTTCTGAATTCGATTTCGGTGATTCGCCTAAACCACACATTCCACGGAATCTCTGCAAATGGCCTCTGAATTGTAAAAGTAAGATTATCGGAA